ATTATTATTATTATTATTATTATTATTATTATTATTATTATTATTATTATTACTATTATTAGTATTATGTTTTACTTTTACAGATTCGGCACCCCCTCTCCTGCCCGGGCATGAGAGAAATAGGGGTGGTGTCGCAACACCCCCTCCCCTCCCTCTTCTCGCCCTTCCTCCCAGGCAGCACCCCCTCCTCTCTCGTGCTCTTCAGTCCCAACCAGCTACCAGCCCTCTCCGGGCTGGGCATGAGAGAAATAAGCGTGGAGCCACGCCCCTCTGCTGCAGGTGCTGCTGCTGTCACTACACCTGGTGCCAGTGCTGCGGCTGCTGGTGGGATAGGAGGAGGTGGGCGTGGGAGTGGTGGTGACGGTGATGGGATTGGTAGGGCGCCCTCCTTGCTGGATGATAGGGCCTCTGGGTGGTGTGCGCTGTGCGCCTGCTGCTGCTGCCCATGCTTGGGACCATTGGCATCATGGTGAGGCTTTATCCCCTTCCTCCCTCTCTCTCCCAACCCCTCCCTTTCCGTCCTTTCCTCTTCCTCCCTCTCTCTTCCAATTTCTCCCCTACTGTCCGTTCCTCTTCCCCCTCTCCTGTCCAGCCCTCCACCTTCTGTCCTCTCACACTTGCAACCCTTCCCTTTACAAACTCGCCTTTCCATTGCTCTGGTTGCTTTTCAGGCGTTGTACAAAGCCAAGTTGATTCCCCAAGACCCTGTTTGTGCGCTCACCCTCATGGTCAGTGTTGCCCTCCTCTCCTCCACTCCCTCGTGACTTTAGAGTCGACTCAAATGCAACCTAGGCACCGCACTGTACCGTAGTGATCCCACAAGACCCTGTTTGTGCGCTCACCCTCAAGGTCAGTGTAGCCCTCCTCTCCTCCACTCCCTCGTGACTTGATAGTCCACTCAAATGTAACCTAGGCACCGCACTGTACCGTAGTGATTCCCCAAGACCCTGTTTGTGCGCTCACCCTCATGGTCAGTGTAGCCCTCCTCTCCTCCACTCCCTCGTGACTTGATAGTCCACTCAAATGTAACCTAGGCACCGCACTGTACCGTAGTGATTCCCCAAGACCCTGTTTGTGCGCTCACCCTCATGGTCAGTGTAGCCCTCCTCTCCTCCACTCCGTTGTGACTTTAGAGTCGACTCAAATGCAACCTAGGCACCGCACTGTACCGTAGTGATTCCCCAAGACCCCGTTTGTGCGCTCACCCTCATGGTCAGTGTAGCCCTCCTCTCCTCCACTCCCTCGTGACTTGATAGTCCACTCAAATGTAACCTAGGCACCGCACTGTACCGTAGTGATTCCCCAAGACCCTGTTTGTGCGCTCACCCTCATGGTCAGTGTAGCCCTCCTCTCCTCCACTCCGTTGTGACTTTAGAGTCGACTCAAATGCAACCTAGGCACCGCACTGTACCGTAGTGATTCCCCAAGACCCCGTTTGTGCGCTCACCCTCATGGTCAGTGTAGCCCTCCTCTCCTCCACTCCCTCGTGACTTGATAGTCCACTCAAATATAACCTAGGCACCGCACTGTACCGTAGTGATTCCCCAAGACCCTGTTTGTGCGCTCACCCTCATGGTCAGTGTAGCCCTCCTCTCCTCCACTCCGTTGTGACTTTAGAGTCGACTCAAATGCAACCTAGGCACCGCACTGTACCGTAGTGATTCCCCAAGACCCCGTTTGTGCGCTCACCCTCATGGTCAGTGTAGCCCTCCTCTCCTCCACTCCCTCGTGACTTGATAGTCCACTCAAATGTAACCTAGGCACCGCACTGTACCGTAGTGATTCCCCAAGACCCCATCCGAGCACTCACCCTCATGGTCAGTGTAGCCCTTTCTCCCCCACCCTGTTCGTCTCCCCCACCCTGTTTGTCTCCCCCACCCCAACGCTTTAGCCCCCTCCCCTTGTATTGGCTTGGTTTCCATCTTTAGCCCTTAGCCCCCCTCCCCTGTCATCTTCTACTGCTTCTTCCGCACAGTTTTGCCTTGTATCGATTCTATGGCTGCGGAATATATTCCTTCATGTGATTCACTTGTATCCAAATGTCCTCATTCATTCTGCGCCATGCTACCAGCATAGAATCTTTTTGCGACGTCATGTCCTCATCTTCCCCCACTCGTCCCGCCATCAAGCCACCAGCAGGAATGCTGGCCTCAATTCTTCATCATTTCGTCTCCTCTCTCCTCCTCCCTCGTCTTCTCTCTCCTCTCCCCTCCTCTCTCCTCCTCCCTCGTCTTCTCTCTCCTCTCCCCTCCTATCTCCTCCTCTCCCCTCCTCTCTCCTCCTCTCCTTTCCTCTCTCCTCCTCTCCCCTCCTCTCCTCTCAGATCCAAACGGCCATGCCATCAGCTCAGAATCTCTTGCTCATGTCTCAAATGAGCCCAGCCGCCAAGCCTCTAATCACTCACTAGTCACTCACGTCCCACTCTCCTCTCTCCGCCTCTCCTCTCCCCCCTCTCCCCACTACACTACCTGCCCTCAGATCCAAACGGCCATGCCATCAGCATAGAATGTCATCCGCATGTCCTCATCTCTCCTCCCCCTCTCCCCTCAGATCCAAACGGCCATGCCATCAGCTCAGAATCTCGTTCTCATGTCGCAACTCAGCCCGGCAACCAAGCCACTGGCAGGAATGCTCGCCTCCTTGATGCTGCGACAGGTGAGAATGTGGGATGTGGGGGTTGTGGGTGTTGAATGGTGGGCTTTGTGTGTCTGTCTGCATGCTCATGTCGTAACTCAGCCCGGCAACCAAGCCACTCGCAGGAATGCTCGCCTCCTTGATGCTGCGACAGGTGAGAATGTGGGAAATGTGAGGGAGAGGGGTCTGGGGAATGTGGGGTGTGGAACGGTGGAAGGGAGGGAGAGGGGAGTGGATCGCAATTCCCCTACTGCATTTTACGTGCCTTTCAAAACCCCATCCCCCCCTCCCCGGCTACCCTCCTTTTCTACCCTCCCTTTCCTCTGCAGTATGCCATATACATGCTTCCAATCACAGTGTGGATCACAGCCATCTTCCCTACCTCTCTCTCCTTCCCATTTTCTGCCCTCTTATCCTTCCAACCCCTTCCGTCCGTCCCCTGCAGTATGCCATATCCATGCTCCCCATTACAGTGTGGATCACAGTCCTCCTATAGCAACCCATATGCTTTATTAACTTACAACTCTCCACCTGTCTTGCAATCTTTCCCCCTTCTCCCCAGCAGTATGCAATATCCATGCTCCCCATCACAGTGTGGATCACAGTATTCCTCTCACGCCTCAACATGACCCTATGAAGGGGGGAGCATAGCCACCTGAAGGCATGAGAGGATAAGCAGTTTCCATGTGCCTCCGAAGTCTCTTCCTCTCACAACTCATCATGACAAAATGAAGGAGGCAGCATCACCATCTGAATAAGCACTAGCAGTTTCCATGTGCCTCCGAAGTCTCTTCCTCTCACAACTCATCATGACAATCTGAAGGAGGCAGCATCACCATCTGAATAAGCACTAGCAGTTTCCATGTGCCCAAGCAGTTTCCATGCGCCTTAAAGACTCTTCCTCTCACAACGCAGACTGCCGTAAATATGGGAGAGGAGACAACATCTCCACTGATGGCATAGGAGCACAAGCATTTTGCAGGTGCTTCAAAAACCTCGTCCTTTCTCGACTCAACATGTGCATATGGTATTGAAATCCCGTGAGACCACATTAATCAAGCAAGCTAACATCGTACGAAAATAATAACATCGGATATCGCAAGCAAGTCAGGGGCAGGAAGAATGGCAAGTCAGCGGTGAAACAAGCCTGGTGGCTTGCCAGCGTTCCTGCCCCCCATGCTCTCTCCTGATAGAAACACCCCACAGGAAAATGAAAGCACCCCACAAGAACATGAAAAAAAACACCCCACAGCTCCAAGCTACGGTAACCAAGAAAGAGTGCCGCCAAAAAAGGGTGCCACCATACACCACCAAATAGCGAGTTACCACTAACGCTTCCCTCCTGCTCAATCGCCAGCAACAAGTGCTGCCAGCTTTGAGAGCGCATCAGGCAGCGACAAAGGGCAGTTTGAGGCCCATGAGCTGCCCGCCCCGCCCCACGCCACACCCCCTGCAGTGGCAGTGCAAAGCCAGCAGCAGCTGCACCGCCAACGCATCAGGCAGCGCATCAGGCAGCGACGGCGGAGGGCAGTTTGACGCCCATGAGCTGCCCGCCCCACGCCACACTCCCTGCAGTGGCAGTGGCCAACACAGCATACCCACTCACAGTCGCGTTCACCCCACCAACCCCCATTATCCCCCCCGCTCCCCCAGCGCTTGGGTAACCGCCTGAGGAACCACCTGCAGTCGGCTGCTGCGCCCCCCCCTGCTGCTGCCGCCCCCCCTGCTTCGCGCCAGTGACGCGCCCCGCTGCGCGCATCAGCAGCTCCCTCCCCATGCGCCTGCTGCCCTGCCCGCTGCGCGCGCCACCCGCACCGCTTCCGCCTCCGCTGCCGTTGCCGCGGCCACCGCCGCGCGCCGCTGGGAGCGTCGCGTTGGGAAGGAGCGCGAGGAGCGCTTCGACGGTGGCGGCGTCCGCGTTCTCGAGGAACGCGTCGAGGCGCGCCTCCGCGTGCAGCAGCCACCAGCCGTCGCGCTGCTGCCAGTCGGACGCCGCCACCGGCAACGCGAGACATCCCAAAATTCCTCGCCGGAGCTACAATGTGACTACTGTAGAGGTGCATGCTATTTGACGTGTAGCTACATTGCAGGGTGGAACATTGTACTTATAGGTTCTCCTACAACCAATTTACTTCACTTTCGACACAGGCTGGAAATAGGGTAACCACATTGTACATGCTTTGAGTCAGGGGCCAGTAACTACATTGTAAATAGTATAAAACTACAAGCGCGCAACTCCCTCAGCAAGGATGGAATAGTTACATAGTACCTACTAGGCGCTTTTACAGCAAATACAGCTGCATTTTGAAGCATTTGATTAAACGTTTCCGAGTATCGTTTGTTCAATAAATTTATTGATTTCGTTATTACAGCAGTACAAATACACATTCACCCAATACAGACATTGCTAACACTAGGGAGCAATCGTCTTCACGAAAAGGTCCTACTAGGTGAGCGAGCCTCGCAGCAACATGCGACCAACCCATCCCTGAAAAACAAGAAATGTTAGGCAATTTAGACAGGCTGCCAACGTAATTGCATCCAAGCCAGCAACACTGTAGATTCTTTGTGTTGAGAAGGCAGCTACTCCAAGCCCAGCTTCGAAGTACCCACTTCCTTGCCCGATAGGCCCAACCCAACTTTTGTAATTTTGGGATGGAACCGCGGCGGCGGAGGCGGAAGAGTCACAGACGGCGCCTTGCACGATCGCGAGGGAGTCGGGCGGCCCGCCCGTGGCGCCAACGAGGAGCGCGTCGACCGCCAGGTTGTAATTTCCGCTCGCGTTCCTGGCGGAAGGGAAGGGGGGAAGCGGGGCGGACGGGTGAAATGGGGGAGGAGGGCGGTGAGTGATTGGAGGAACGGTGGTAGTGCGTTCCTGGCGGAGGGGGAATGGGGGAAGCGGGGCGGAAGGCCCCCCCCCCGGGGGGGTGAGTGAAAATATGGTAACCCGTTCCTGGCTGGGTGAAGAAAATTATGCGGCACAGCATATATGCTTAGGGCTTCATAAGGGCCCCTTATGACGGGAGTGGGTAAAATGACGGAGAAGACGCGCGGCGACAATCGGAGCCCCAAGAAATTTAGGGTTTCATTGGCACAGATCCCCCAAACTCACTTGAAGATGGCGAGGTGAAAGTGGCCGTCGAGAAATGTTGGGTCCGCGGAGCAGTTAGCCAATCGCGCACCAACGTCCCCCGTCAGATTGCCGACGACCGTCAAGTTCAGCGGAGGACCGCGCGGGCCATCAGGTCCGCCAGGCCCGCCAGGCCCGCCAGGCCCGCCAGGCCCGCCAGGCCCGCCAGGCCCGCCAGGCCCGCCAGGCCCGCCAGGCCCGCCGGGTCCGCCAGACCTGCCAGGTCCTCCGCGCGCCCCCCCGGGCTGCTGGCCTCCGGGAGGGCCTCCGCCAGGCGGTCCACGCTGCGCCGTCGCGGAAGTCGCAAGGAGGAGCGCAATGCAGACTACAAGAAGCCCCTTGACTGCCATGACTTTCAGAATCGGGAAGTAATTCGGTTTCTAACGAGACGAGAATGAACTAGGTTGGACTCGGACGGAAGAAGGCAGAGCGGAAAATGTGTGATGGGAAGGAGAGTGAACAATCGGAGCAATTTATGCGCACCACCTCGCTCACATTCCTCGATTAGGGGATTGGGTTGACTGGCGCGAGAAAAAATCCCGAGACGCGAGATGACTAGTCAACAAGTGGTGGAAAAAGCCTTTGAGATTTGACGCGTGAGGGCTGGTCTGGTTGCTTTGTCGTGGTTTGGTATGACTCGTCGGCTTTGGTTTGGGCCTGATCTGGTAGTGGTTTGGGGAGATTGGGTACTGTAGCAGCCGGGCCTGACTAACAACGCGTTGAAATTCTTCGACTGGTTTCAAGAGGTGAGTCAACACAAACCAGACTCCAAGGTTCGTAGCACTCGAAACTGCAGTTAGCGGCTGCGCTTCGCGAACCGAGGCTGTCATATTCGCACAATATTATTTTCCGTTATTGACATCGGAAGCTGCTTATGTAAAGAATCTAACAAGTGTGCCCAGAAATATTTACAGATAAGAGAAAAATAGTATGCAGTGTGTGTGTATTTTCATGAAGCATTACAGTAGGATTGCTTTAATGGTTGTAACGAGCACAGTGATCCAAATGAGCTGCCAAGTCAGCTGCAGAAGTGGCAAGATAACCGTGGCATACAGGACAATGCAAGGGAGCAACTCCCCCCCCACCACTCCCATCAAAGCCCCCCTCCTCCTCCCCAACCCCATGCACATGCATACCATACCCACCCATCATCATTCCTCCCGGCACCATGCCAACAGCCATACCATGCACACCCGTTTCCCCCATCCCTCCCCACATTCCTCCCACTACCCCCCCTACAACTGCACCACCACCTGCCACACCATCACTTGTACCGGACCACAAGCCCGGACCAGCATGTCCTCCCATACCTGCCCAAGGACCTGCCGAACCTGCATACCCTTCCAGGGAACTCCAGCCAGCTGCAGCTTCCGAACCATGAACAGCAGCCCCGGACCAGACATCCGGACCAGCTAAACTTCCATGTTGGGGGGGAATACCGGACCACATCTCAGGCACGGCATGGGCTCCAAAAGTAGCTCCGGTGTAATTGACAGCAGCAGGCACACCAGCAGCAGCAGCAGCAGCAGCAGCAGCGGCAGCAGCGGCAGCAGCAGCGGTGGCAGCAGCAGAAGGGACAGCAGCGGCTGTAGCAGTGGCAGGTGCACCTCCCATCTGCCAAGCTGGAACAGCAAATGGCAGCCCTGATAGCACTGAGTGTGCTGAGTGTGGGGCAGGGGGGGACCCAACCATGCCATGCCATTCAGCAGGAGGAGACCCAACCATGCCATGTGCCACCATGCCATGCCATGTGCCATGGGGCCATGCCACGGCACCTGCATGACCACCCATGCCTTGCATCCCGCTGCTAGCTGCCATGGCTGCTTCCGAGCCTGCTGCTCCGTTAGGCTCGTACACTGCCATGCCTGATTGCATTCCTGCTGAACCACTAGGCTCGTATGCTGCCACGCCCGTCACCATACCTGCTGCCGTGCCTGCTGCCGTGCCTGCTGCCGTCGGTCCTGCTGCCATGCCAGCTGACATCACGTCGGTTCCGCTTCCATACCCCCCACGTCCGTACCCACTGCTACTGCTCATTCCTGCTCCTGCTGGCACACCAGATACTCTCAGCCCTGCACTCTGCTGCCCCTGCCACTCCTCCATCCCACCAGAAACCTCTGCTGCTACACTCTGTGGTCCCAGCCATTCCTCTGCGCCTGCTCTCAACGATGTGCCAGCAGGATTCGTCCCATCCTGCTTGAAGATTGAGGAGACCATTGCTGCTGCTGCTGCTGCTGCTGCTGCTGGCGGTGCCGATGCCGGTGTTGCTGCTGCTGTTGCTGTTGCTGTTGCTGCTGTTGCTGCTGCTGCTGCTGCTGCCGGTGGTCCTGCCTTTGCAGCAGGAGTGCTGGGAGCACTTGCTGAAGCAAAAGGTGCATGTTTTGCTGCAGGTGAAGCAGTGGCAGAAGCAGCAGTGGCAGAGACAGTAGTTTTGGCAAAAGTGACAGCAGCAGCAGAGGGAGCAGTGGGGAAGGCCACAGATGGGCGTGTGTGGGGAGGTGGTGGGGATATGAAGGCAGAGGAAGGGGTGAAGGGGGCGGAATGAAGTGAGAGCTTGGAGGGGGTGAAGGCAGGGGAGGTGGAGCGGAGAGGGGCGGATGGCACAGTGTAGTGTGAAGAGGAGAGAGGGGTGGAGAGAGAGGAGGAGAGAGTGGAGTGAGAGGAGGAGAAATGGGAGGAATGGGACGAGGGAAGTGAGGGATGGTTAGAGGGCAGAGAGGAGGCAGAGGAAGGAACAAAGGCTGGAGCAGTAGGCGAAATAAAGCGAGGGGGAATAACAGCCTTGGGGCGAAACGGAACAGCTCCAGCTGCTTTAGCGAGTGAGCTCTTAGAGGGGATAAACGAGCCTGGGTTGCTGCCGGTAGGGTTGCTACTGCTGCTGTTGCTAATGCTGCTTCTGCTGTTGATGCTTCTGCTGCTACCAGTGATGTTATCATGATGGCTTCGGTTATGCCTTGCAATGCTGACTCTGGCACTGCTGCTGCCGCCGCTGCTGTAATTTGCACTGCTACTGCTGATGCTACTGCTAGTGAAATCCCTGTTGTAGCTGTTGCTGCCAGTGCTTCCCCGGGGCCTGTTCCTTAGAAAGACCGTGCTGCTGCGTGTGCTGGTAAGCTCAGTACCCTCACCCGCTCCCATCATCCCACCAGTTGACTTGTGAGATCTGTCAGCAGCAGCTGTTGATCCTGCACCATACACCACATGGGACGTCGACCCCTCATTACACATGACTGAATGAACTTGTTCCCCTTGCTCCTCCCTTCCATCTTCCTCTCCTCCCTCCTCCCCTCCTCCCTCCTCACCTCGCCAGTGACCAGTATAGTAACCCACACCATCACTAGAGCCGATCTCCACACCATTCACCATAGCCATGCAACCCTCACTGTCTACATCCCCTGCCATAATCGCATTGTCCCCGAAAAACCCAACCACTCCTCCTGCTCCCATTCCTCCTGCTTCAATTCCTCCCACGCCTCCCACACGATCCCCCATCCCCATGCCCCCCAAGCCCCCTGCGCCTGCGTCCCCTGCCGTGCTCTCACTATCCCCAAACAGCCGCCTCACAGGCCCCTGGCGGGCGGCAGAGAGTGGCGGTGGGGGGGGGGAGTCGAGGGTCATTGGGAGATACACGCCTTCCCCCAAATCATGCCCCATCTCATGCCCTGCCACTCCTCCTTCTTCGTGCCGCTCAAGAACCGCACTAGAGCCACTCACACCCCACAGTACCGCGCCAGAACCTGATTCCACCCTAGAGGCCGCAACTACCCCCGAGGACAAAACTTGCCCAGAGACTGATGAAGGAGCAAAGGCAGACGAGGTGGTTGGAACCACAGAGATAGAGGAGGGGACGAAGGCAGAAGCAGTGGCGGCAGAGGTGGAAAGGGAGGAAGCAGGGGAAGCAGAAGGAAGGACAGCTGTAACCATCACAGGCATTGAGGAAGGGACGAAGGCAGAGGCAGTGACAACAGAGGAGGAAAGGGAGGAGGCAGGCGCAGCAGCAGCAGAGGAAACAGAAACTTCAGCAGATGTGACAGGTGAACTGGAGATTGTAGAAGCTTTAGCGGGCAAATGGGAATCCTTAGTAGCTGTGGCAAGGAAAGACGAAACCTTAGCAGCTGTAGCACGGGAAGCAGAAACCATTCTTGCAGTTGCACGGGAATCAGTGAATGTAGCAGCTGTAGCAGTTACAGCAGCTGTGGCAGCTGTAGCTGCTACAGAAGCACCAGAAGGCTTGAATTCAGGAGCATTGAACTTGGGTTTGAACTCCGGAGCTGATATTGCACTGGCTAGGGATGCCGAACCAGCGAGAGAGGTTCGGAGAGAGTAGGTTGGAGATGGAGAGGTTCGAGATGGGGATGCGGCACGTTGAGGAAGCTTCCAGGAGGCTGCAGCAGTGAGAGAAGCATCACCAGCAGGAGGAGAAGAGGGGGGAGGTGAGGTAAAGGAGGAAGCAGAGGCAGAGGCAGAGGGGGATTTGAAGAGAGATGAGGGGGGAAGGGGAGAAGAAGAGCGGGCAGGAGAAGGGGAGGAGGGGCGGATTGGAGTGCGGGGAGCAGGGGACAGCGATCGACGAATAGCGCCCAGGGTAGCATAAGAAGCTATAGCGGGCATGTCTGTAGAGAGGGATGCTGATGCTGGTGTGGCGGGCAGTGACGGGATGAACTCGCCAGCTGTCGCCGAGAGAGTGGTGGCACGGATCGCTGCTGACGTGGAGCTTGCTGATGTGGCAGACGGGCCTCCGGGAGGTAGTGAGGAGGATGAGAAGGAGGAGGTGATATGGTGGGATTTGGAGGAGGGGAGTGTGGTAATGGAGAGGGAGGAGGAGGAGGATGAGGAGGAGGATGAGGAGGAGGATGAGGAGGAGGAGGAGGAGGAGGAGGAGGAGGAGGAGGAGGAGGAGGAGGAGGAGGAGGAGGAGGAGGAGGAGGAGGAGGAGGAGGAGGAGGAGGAGGAGGAGGAGGAGGAGGAGGAGGAGGAGTGGGAGGAGGGACGGCCAGGGAGAGAGATGGAAGTGGGAAGAGAAGGGCGAAGGGTATGGAAGGAAGGGAGAAAGGAGGAGGACTGAGACGACTGTGGAGGAGGGGAATTGGGAAGGCTCTGTGCCATCTTAGAAACATGACTCTCCCTGCCGCTGCCGAGACTGCTGCCGCTGGCACTGCTGTTGAAACTGTTGCTCTTAATGCCGCTCCCAGTGTCACTGCTTCTGCTGTTGCTGCTGCTGCTGCTGTTATTGGCAGTGCTGCTGATTGTTTTGGGTTTGCTATCATTGTTATTCAAGGCAGCATCAGTCAGCTTATTCTCAGGCCCGTCCACAGCACTGGGCCCTGTCACTGTTGGTCATCGCCAGAATGGAGGTTGTGAAGAGGGGGATAGGGATACACAGGGGAAGATATTTTGAAGCGACTCAAAATACACAGGGGAAGGTATTTTGAAGCGACTCAAAATATACAGGGTAAGATATTTTGAAGCGACTCAAAATATACAGGGGAAGATATTTTGAAGCGACTCAAAATATACAGGGGAGGATATTTTGAAGCGACTCAAAATACACAGGGGAAGATATTTTGAAGTGACTCAAAATACACAGGGGAAGAAATTTTGAAGCGACTCAAAATACACAGGGGAAGATATTTTGAAGCGACTCAAAATATACAGGGGAAGATATTTTGAAGCGACTCAAAATACACAGGGGAAGATATTTTGAAGCGACTCAAAATACACAGGGGGAAGATATTTTGAAGCAACTCAAAAGGTTCGCAATCATTGCTATTCAAGGCAGCACCAGTAAGCTTATTATTCTCAGGCCCATCATAAGCACTGGGCTCTGTCACTGTTGGTCATCGTCATGTCAATCAAGGTTGCAAAAAAGGGCGGAAAGATGGAGAGGCTTTTGAGTCGACTAAAAAAAAGGGGGAGATGGAAAGAGAGAGAGAGGGGGGCAGGACTTTTGAGACGTCTCGAAAGGGGGAGATGGAAAGAGAGAGAGAGAGGGGGGGAAAGAGTGGGGAGGATGCGGGGAGGGAGACAAATAGACAGAAAAGAAAGCACGTTCGGTGCAGCAGACTATGAGGAGCATTATAACGAGGATGAGAGTGCACTCCCCTTGTGAGTGCGTCTGAGGGAGTGGTAGGAGGGATATGGAGAGAGTGAGAAGGAGATAAGGAGAGGGAGATGATGGGAAGGAGGGACATACTGGGAGACCCTGCATTGGCAGCAAGCAACCATACCATAGACTCACCTGCAAGCGCCGCCGGGATTTTTTGAGAATTCTAAAAAATCCCTGAGATGATGGGAAGGAGGGACATACTGGGAGGCCCTGCATTGGCAGCAAGCAACAATACCATAGACTCACCTGCTAGTGCCGCCGCCACAGGTGCTTCAGTGTTCCCTGTAGAGCTAGCATTTGCTGCTGGTTGCTCCTCTGCACTGCCTTCTCTAAATAACACCTCCCCTCCACCTTCCTCAGATAGCACCTCCCCTCCACCTTCCTCAGATAGCACCTCCCCTCCGCCTTTCTGAGATAGCAACTTCCCTCCACCTCTCCCAAACAACACCTCCCTTCCACCTTCCTTAGATAATACCTCCCCTCCATGTCCTACTGGACCCAGCCACAGCTTCTGAGATGCGGGTTCAATACTTGCTGCAGCAAATTGAGGAGGGGAGTTAAGAGGGCTCCAGATGGAAGGACAGGAGGAGAGGAGAGGGAGAGCAGAGGCAGAGAAGGCACGGGCAACAT